ATATATATATATATATATATATATGTGTGTGTGTGCGCGTGTGTGCGCGTGCGTATGTGTAGGTGTGCATGTATAGATGTGTGCATTTATATATAAATGCGTAAAAATTTCTTTTGGAACATAATTAAATTTAAAATATAATTTTTATTGTAACAGCTATATTTTTTCTTTAATTTTGATATAAAAAAATTTTAGTATCACAATTAGTATAAGTTTTATTATAACTAGCAAATAAAAAGACATTTCGTACCTTGTTACTTGTTAATGTTTTAGAGTCTAAAAATTACAAAATAGTTATAGAGTATGCAATTTATTTAAGAAATAATATCTTTTTATTTAATTAATAAAATAATATTACTAAATTATCCTATACTAAAAAAATGTACACTTAGCATAATAAGAAAAGGTTATAATGTCTTAAAAATTGTGTATGCAAAAACAATGAATCATCTTTATATATTGTTATAAATTATTATAAAAGTCAATAAATTTATCATACATAAATAGTAACTTGTGATAAGATGATATAATGTAAATTATTTTACACTCTCGAATACATTTTTTTTAAAAAAATTATTTTTGTCTCTAACTTTATAATATAAGAATTTTCCATGGTTGTTACATTTTATTGAATCACCAACTAGCAGCAAAATTACTCACATGTTCGATATTTTATACTCATTTTATACAAGTATGTATGCTATGACATGTATATAAGTACAAATGTGATTAGGAATAACTCTATAAATATATATAATATATGTACAGTAATCCTGTATAAAGTAATATAGAATCTTAAATACCGTTAAATACTACTATGTACTATACAAACGATCAAAAGCAGTAAAGACAAGATTACATCACCAAAATTGCTCTGCAACATCTCCATGAAGTCCACTTTGGCTAACCATGTCTTGCTCCCATGAAAATCATGATCATCATAGTTCAAATCACATGGAACACATGCAAGGGTAAGTTGGATTTAAAAAACATACTAGTATAACAAAGAACATCTATACTACTTACCAACATGTAAACTAACCAAAACACAGTAGTTTACAACAATTATCAAACAACACAACATCAATATGTTTGAAAGCTATATATCAAGACATATCAAACAATAATATATTCATCCAATACATATGCATACCAATCAACAACACATCATATGCATACACATCAACTAAAGTAACGTCACACATTCATCTATAAAGATCTCCTAAGAACATGAGTAATTTAAGTGACTTAACCCTACCAAACCAACTCAATTATTTTCACACCAAAGCCCATCCGCTTGATTATAGCTAAAATGAGATACCAATCCCTAATTTCTAATTTCTCAATTGTCACTACTTACATTAAGAAAGTTTGGTTTCATTGTTAGGAATTGTGTAGTTGGGTATAGGTGTACCACAACTTTGACATGTATTATCAAGTTAAATGTAGAGTTAGTCCACTAACTATTGGCAAAGAATCACGCAACCTTTCCAGTAATCAATTAAGGGTTGAAACTCTCGACTTCATACTTTATTCCACATTAACTAATAACCTAGAGAAGACTCAACAAAATTCACTCAAAGAGTTTCACACCTGCTCAAGAGGATTTTCAACAATTGACCTCCTAGAGCGTCAAAACAATATTTCCTATATGGTATCTTCACTTTCTAAACAACATTTTCTTCCCTAATCCTATGTCAATCAACATACTTTAATGTTTGTAACATTCTTAGTATCAACACATCAACATACATCTTTTATATACATTACCTTAGGTCAATGCATTAAAAGATTAAATCACACCAATCATGTATAGCATATCGATGCTTAATACCTCAACTAATAATAACATACTAATGTCTGACAATTCATCCAAGTGTAACATATCAATCACACATAGCATATCAATTCTCATCATCATCATCATCATACATCATATAACATGCAAAAGACATAAGTATTTTATTCATGTTCACCACATTCACCATCATACATGTATTAACATACTTGTCAAAATCAACTATCACACAATGACAAATTTCACACAAAAAATCACGTAGAGAATTATACTAATATCGAGTTCATCTTTATCTCATATGAAAGGCAAAAAAATTATCTATAACTCTTATGAAGACCAAGTTCTAATTCTATCATCTACTATACTAAAAATTATAAAAATTGTAACATTTTTTTACTAATGTTGATAACTTGATTTTTGCTCACTAAAAAAATCATAACTTGAGTTATAATCTATTTTTTCAAGTGATTCCAAATCCATTGAAAAACTAACATCTAAGACAACAAAATCTAATTTAGAAAGCCCCAAACCACTCAGTTGTTTCAAAACTGCCTAGTGGATTCATTCCAAAGATACTCCTAAATCTCATCTCCAATTTCGCTCAACTGTTTCAAAATGGCTCAGTCGTTTCATGATACAGACCATTTCTTTTTTCTTTTTTTTTGCGATTTTGGGATTTTCAAACCTCTCTATTCCATCTCAAGCTTCCTGCAAGCTCCAAACTCAAATTCAAACCATAACAACTCATCTAAACTATTAGTAGAATACATCAATTTTCAACAACAAAACAACTCATGACAAGAATTTTGGGTACAAAATCAAAGTTTCCCCCATCTAAAAACCCCCCAAATACTTCAAAAATTTACAAGAAACTAAGAACACCAAGCCTCTTTGCAATTCAGTTTAACATATAAACAATTATGCATCAACTATGAGCATTCATACTACATATACAATATGAAAATCCATACATATCATCCAACAATATCAAGTTCTAACTTTCTTTACCTTAGATTCTAAACTTCCAAAGTGAAGAGAGAAAAAAGGAAAAAATAGTCTTTATGAGTTTCCCAAGCTCAATACTCACACCATTGGTCCTCAACTCTAAAGGTTTACAATAGCTACTACATACTAACACCACCATTCTA